TTAGACCCCCCGCTTTCTTTCGAAAGCTTTTGGGCCCTTGAATTTTTCAAAAAAAGCACCAAAAATTTCATCTAAAAAATTTATATCCCAAACCTGCTTCTTTAGGTTTTAATAAATTGGGCCCCCCCGGGGGGGTAAAAATTTAAAAAGAAAAAACTTTTTTTTTTCATCATTATAGTTTCTTTTTAAAGTAACAAAAAACCCAGGGTTTTCAGATATTTTCCATTTTATCTTTCTTAGGAAAAAACCCCCAAAGTTTCCAAAAAATCAGTTCAAATGATTAAAAAAAAAAGGCCCCGGCCCCAAATGGTTCGGGGCGGGTGTTTAATTGGGGGGTAAACCCCGGCCCCAGTTAAATGTACAAAAAATTTATACGGTATAAAATGTTTTTAAAAATCTTTTCCTCTTAAAAAATATTTAAAACCGGCAAATTATTTGAAGTATGATCTTTTGTAAAAATTGAATTTTATTGGAGTATTTATTTAAAAAAAGTTTTAAAGGGGGGTAATGAAAAAAAAAAATTATTTTTTAAAATACAAACTTATTTTTTTAATTTTTTTGGCAAAATTTAAAGGTTTTTTAATTTTTGAATTTTTGGTTTTAATTTAAATTTTTTTATGTTTCTTTTTTAAAAAAAAGAAACCTGATTTTTTGTTTTTAGTCCCTATTTAGTATATAAAATATTCCGTTTACAAATTTCAAAGGAGATAAATAATACCACTCTTTTTCTTTTAAAAATTTTTTATTTTAAAACCCGGGCTTTTTTGACAGTCTTGGGGGCTGTACTCCCAAGGGGAAAACGTGGATTCCTTTTTAAAAGTCACTTAAAATATTATGTGACAAGAAACATAGCCCTTTTACAAGTTTTTCAATATAAATTTTTAATATTGATAATTTTAAGTAAAAAATGTTTTTTGGAAAAAAAAATTTAAAAATGTATTTCCTTTTCCCGTTTTTAAAAAAAATTTTTTATTTCTTAAAATTTATTTTTTAAAAACAAATTTGCATTCGAAAATTTCCTTGCTTATGTGATTTCTCTTGTTGGTCCTTTTAAGTCAAGGTCAAGCTCCCTTTATGTTTAGAAAATAGATTTTTCGGGGCAAGTAAACTCGAGTTTGGAATGCAACATCGTGTATATCAAGCTTAATGAATATTTCACTATGTATTGCTTTTGGGCCAATGACCTTTGTATCTGAACATTAGACACATCTGCACATTGTCTTTCATTTGACAGGCTGAAATATGACCTTGACCACTAAATTCACTAGACTCAACTGGATTGTGGCAAAGTTCAATTGTATAGAAACAACTACACCAAAGCTTCTGTTCCTACAATATTATTTGTTGTTGTATTAATGCGGTGGCATAGCAATTTTAGCTCACCTTGCACATAGTGCAGGTGAGCTTGTAGGATGGCATTAGCTTGTTGGTTTCTACAAAGTATGTTCAACTTATGGTCTAGAGTTGAAAATTGGTCTCTGTTTTAGGGGTTAAAGGGTTTTTTTTTATTGCAAGGTTATATAGACTTTCTTTGTAGGGATCAATTGAGATGCTGTATCTTGTTTTTTTTGTCTCAACAGACATTGTTATGAAGATTTTTCTGTTAAAGCATTAGAAAGATGAAAAGGTTGTTGAATGTGAATGTTAATTCAAAAAAGAGTCAATCAGAATAGCACAAATTTGAGAGCTACAGTGAAGTTGATTTCCCCATTCAATATTGGATTCTTCCATTAATTTTGTAACACCATCAGAAAGAAGACTGTGTCATTTCCGAAATACAATGTAAAATATTTCGGTTCTTGACAATGACTTGCGCATTTTATTGTGTAAGATATTTATTTCACAAAGAAACGAAAGTGAACAAAATGTTGTATTTTGTTCTCACAAAATCAGCTGATTAAGATAAAAGTTTAATTTACAGTACGGATATTATTTTTACATCCTTCCAGTTTGCGGGAAAAATCATATTATTTCAAGGTACCTTTTTCAAGATGAATTTTTTCAAGGAATGAAACTTTTGTTGAAATTTATGAAAAATTTCGATGAGACAAAATTTTGTACATCTATTCTACAGTTAGGACAGAGGCAAAGCGATGTTTTACGAACGTTGCGTATGCAAATGAGTACCAAAATATTTTGACCTGCAAATTAGGTGGTTCGAGGTTACAATATAAAATAAATATGTCATAATATTTCATTCTTAGAACAAACATACAATTCAATTCATTAAATAATGCATATCAATCAGTCCATTCAACAACTTTGCCTCAGAAAACATCTGTATCAATCTGACCTCGAGTTGAGACAACAACAACAATGGCCGCCATGCACAAGAAAATTGAGAAATTTTGTAACATAAACTCGTATTTCCTAACAAAAAAGTGAAGATGAATACAATTATCGGTGTGCTTCGTTGAAACAGCTATGTTGTTAACTATTTGTGAAGAATTAAGGCATGACATTCAGTATTTATGTAAATATCACCTCCTGTGTTATGATTTCTAAAATTATACATGTACACATGTGATATTAACCTCAATAAATGTAAGTGAAATAGAACAATAATTATGGTAATAATCCATGGTGCTAGTAATACTTAATTATCTTTATCATATTGTTAACTAAGCAAGAAGCTTACTTAATTTAAAAATTACCTAACCTCACAATATTATCAATTTAAACTTGAAAATCTACTCAAAATGACTTCCCAAACAGTAATTTTTGAAACATGAAAATGATTCATGTAGAAAAATAACACAAGAAAAAACTGATTTGACTCATGAACATTTTGGCCAAACAGTTTGCCAAGTGAAATTCTGACCTTCCTGAGATCCCTGGTGTTTTTGTTTGTTTTTTTTATTTATTTTAATATTTTACAAGATTTAATTTTACAATTAAACCTGTGTATAGAGCCACTCATGTGAACAGACAGAAGTTTTTGTAGAAAGGGGTGTTCTAATATGATGAACCACAGATGCTTGGGGGTTAGATCCTGCCCCCAACATGATACCCCTGAGTAAACGATATCAAAAATTATTTTAATATTTAAACACTATTGAGATATCTGTTATGACTATAATACTGGTTTTCGAAAAAAAAATTACATATATGAAAAAAAAAATACTGTTTACCATCATGTATTGAGACTTGATTCCGGGCAGGCAGGCGAATCTACCTCAAACTTCATATACATATTCCTTATCATCAACCAGATCTTATGTGACAAGGTTCATAACTCTTGAAGCAATATTTTCAGATTAATCTCCCTTTGAACTTAATTTAAAAAAAAAAAAACTTCTTTATCTTTTAAGGTATCTTCTTCAAACTTCAAATATATATTTCTTATCATTACACACATGTTGTGTGACAATGCCCATAACTCTAGTGTAACTATTTCCAGAACTATTCCCCCTTGAACTTTGAATTTATGTTAACAACTATAACTTCTTGTCATAAGAAGAAATATATTTATATCATTATTAATTTTTCTTTCATAGTTTTGTCTTCCTTACTGTATCCAGTATTTAATCAGTTGAGATTTGCTGTCTCCTGTGACAGCTCTTGTTATTGAAGTATTATCCAAATTTGTATTTCGTCTCGGTAATTATGATGTCATTTTAAAAATTTTCATGATGTAAACACGCTACACTTTAAAGAAAAAAAAAGAGGTATTTCTATACACTCAGTCTTGTTTGCATTCCTGTTGCTGTTGGCCAAAAATACTTTACATTTGAAACTAACCTTTAAATAACATTAAAGAATTTTATAAACCTGGTGCTTGTTTTTAAAAAGAAAAATATTTTTAAGATCTATTCCTTAAAGTGAGCGATATAGGGCCTTCATGACCCTCTTGCTCATAATATTAATGTAGTCTTTTTTTTCAAGAAACATTTTATAAAAATATCCAAATGATATATTTCTATACTTTTTATCAATATTTGAAATAATTATTGAAAAATATGCCATTGTAGACCAACCCACTTTAACATAAGGCCAATTCTCCACCTAAATATAATATAGCGAATTCAAAAGAGTTTTAAATTAACTAAAGACAATGAAGAAGTTTTGACGCCAAGTTTAATTACATATTTTGTGCACGAACTATGATGCTAATTGACAGCTTAATTTATTTTATTTATGTTCTTCCTAAAATGTTTCTGTTTTATTCTAGTACGGGCAAAAATCATAAATTATATCTGCCGTGATATATTGGTGTATTGTAACAACGTTTGATATTCTAAAGCATTAATATTTTTAACCAACGATGTAAACTATATTTCCTTCGGGAAATACGTGCTCATTCTTTCATCCAGTTATATAAATTTTAACGAAAGCTTTTAGTGTACAAGTCAAATTTATGAACGCCTTAAGATGGACCTACATAATTATACGACATAAATCATAAACATTGCGCAAGTAAACCGTTACCTAGCAGCTTCGCATATTTTGTAATGGCATATGTCCTTACATAACGCAATTAATCTCGGACAAACTCATGAAAGGTTTGTATGGGAAACTTTTATGGAATATGTTAATTAATAAAATCAGTGTCTTTTGATTTGAAAAATACAACATAATGGATCATTTATTATAACTGTTCACATGTCAACATAATTTGATTAAATTTAGATATAGAAGTGGGTTTAATGTAGACGTGGATATAGATAGAACAACGAGTAAATGCCGTCGGCTTCTTGTTAGATGGAGAAATCTGATAATAATAGAAATTACTTTTTTTACAATAAAAACTAGATATCTATATTGATGTTTATCGACCAATCAATAAAGGAGGGACATTAATTTGTTATATGTATCAACTTGTTTACTAAACAAGTCATCAGTCACACGGAACGGGTATTTTCCCTTTCATATATAAAATAACCAATTTCATCATTCATCATTACATTCGTCATTCAGTAGATTTACGTATCACTTTAAAATGTAAGAATAAAGGCCAAAAATTGTTCTTGAAGTAAAATATATTTTCGGTTCCTGATAAACAAACCATAGGGACTGTAAACATGTTTAGAAAGATTATACTGTGCTGGGTTGGTGTTTATGCTTACGTTATATTTGCTTTTATTCAAATGGATTGGTTAATTAAGAAAAAGATTGTATATACAATTGAAAATGAATTGACTTTTGTGGACCCTGTGTCACCCGGGCAACGGCATCTATCAGAATACGAGTACACTGAAATGTTCCACACAACAAATGGAGTAACAAACGCACGTGACTGTGACATAGCCACAACTCACGCCTGCCAATTACATTGTAAACTAGCGAACGCTTCTAACATTAATAATAATTCAAATCACCACGCACATGACGTTAGTACAAAATGCAATTTATATAAATTAGTGGAAAATTGTGAGCAGTTTAAAAAAGTGTATGGTTATAATAGATTTCCTGTCACCAATGAAGAAAGAAACTTTCCGTTAGCTTTCGGTTTAAAGATGCATCATCTGCCTGAACAAGGAGAAATTATTCTACGCTCTATTTACAGAAGTCATAATGTTTACTGTGTACATGTCGATTCAAAAGCAGACTACAAAACATTTAATGTTATATACAGCATTGGAAGATGTTTTGATAATGTAGTTATTGTTAAAGACAGAGAGTATATGGTATACTCTAGCTATGCACATGTTATGTCGGACATCAAATGCATGCGGGCTTTGTTGAGTTCCAATTTACCTTGGAAGTATTATATAAATTTGTCTGGAGAGGAATTTCCGTTAAAAACTAACCTGGAAATGGTAGCAATTCTCCAATTCTTCCAGGGCATGAATGATATTGAAACATATGACCATCCGAGAGATCAGAACTGGAAAATAAAAAACAGATTTATCAAATATAGCAATAGCATGGCGCAGGATGTTAAGAAGCCGAAATTTAGATATACCATGAAGTTTAGCAAAGGTAACTCTTTCGGTTTGTTCTCGAGGAACTTCGTAGAATTTGTATTTCACGACAATGTTTCTAAAGATATTTTAGCCTGGTTGAATGACACTTACTCTCCAGAGGAAAATATCTGGGCAACATTGGTAACACTACCCTGGGCACCTGGCGGTTACCCCGTAGAAATACGTCACATAGTTTCTTCTTACGTGTCACGTGCAATGATCTTCACAGGCGAAAGACCACAGTGTCACGGAAAATTTGTCCGTGGATATTGCCAGTTTACTTGCGGTGATCTCCCGTGGTTGAAGAGTCGACCGGAATTTTTTGCAAGCAAACTTGAATCGCAGAAGAGCATGGAAACTTTAAACTGTTTATTTGACTGGTATAAAACAAAAACTTACAATCCAGAACTTATCAACATAAACTGGGAGTTTTTTAATCGGCTACCACATATTAAGTACCACAGAAAGAATAATTTAATGATGGGTTCTAATTTAAAAGTTGAGGAAATAAAAAAGAAATGGTTATCAAAACATACAAGAAAGGTTTAGCTGTTTATGTCCCTATCTGAAATACAATTTTTGGCAATGTTTATGTTTCTATATCTTTTTTAGTGAGCGTCACTTACTTAACAAGAGGGCCAAGATGACCGTAGTTGCTCACCTGACCAATCGAACTCATCCGTGCAATTACTTAGACAAGCATCCTGACCAAGTTTCATGACAATTGATTAAAAATATGACCGCAAGAGCGTTAACAAGGTTTTTCCATATTTGGGCAGTTTGACCTAGTTTTTGACCCCAGGTGACCCATATTCAAACTTGACCTAGAAATAATCAAAACAAACTTTCAGACCAATTTCAGGATATTTGGATAAAACAGTAGCCACTAGAGTGTTAACAATATTTTTCTATTTTTTGCTCCCGTGACCTAGTTTTTCATCCGTGATGACCCATGTTTGAACTCATCTAAGCAATTAAGTAGACAAGCATCCTGACTAAGTTCATGACAATTGAGGCAAAAATGTGATCACTAGAGTGTTAACAAGGTTTTTCCATATTTGGACGGTGTGACCTAATTTTTGACCCCAGTTGACCCTTATTCGAACTTGACCTAGAAATAATAAAAAGCAAACTTTCAGACCAATATCAAATATATTCGGATCAAAATAGTAGAAACTAGAGTGTTAACAAGATTTTTCTATTTTTAGCTTATATGACCTAGTTTTTCATCCGAAATGACCCATGTTCAAACTCATCCAATCAATTACCTAGACAAGCATCCTGACAAAGTTTGATGACAATTACAACTAGCGTGTTAGCAAGGTTTTTCCATATTTAGGCGGTGTGACCTATGTTTTAACCCCAGGTGACCCATATTCAAACTTGACCTAGAAATCATCAAAACAAACTTTCAGACCAATTTCCAAGATATTTTGATCCAAACAGTAGCCACCTGAGTGTTAACAATTTTTTTTCTATCTTTAGCTCCTGTGACCTAGTTTTTCATCCGAGATGTTCGAAATTATCCGAGTAATTACATAGACAGGCATCCTGACAAAGTTTGATGATGATTGAGGCAAAAATGTGACCACTAGAGTGTAAACGAACAAATGTAAGGACGACAGACGACGGGCGACAGACATTAAACGATCCTAAAAGTTCATCCTGAGCTAGCTCAGGTGAGCTAAAAATCAGTGTAATGAATAAATTATCATTTCATATATTAAATCTGCAGATTTTATCTTATTTTCATTTATATGCCTTAAATTTGATATGTTTGATTTAATATATGAAAAGAGAAATAAAGACATTAGATAAATATCAAAGCTTGAAACACATAAGATACAGTAGTTATATTTTAAGTCCCAGATAAATACTGAAAGTAGAACACACACTGGAAAATTTGGGATGAATTTTAAAGTGATCAAATTCAGGATTTTTTGTTGTTGTTATACGTGTTAACAAAAATAATTGTACATTAAATAAAATCATGAATAAATTTGCATTGCATGTTGATATGGTGAAACATTATTTATCAATAATCAACGGAAGACTGTTACCTGAATTTGAGAAAGATATGAGAAAAATTCACGTACATCATGTTCATGCGAGTCAAAGATATAAAAGCTACTTGACATTGGTGATAAATAAAGAGCGATTGTTAATTGACTTATTGGGAGATCATTCTAAAAGTGTGTTGAATTGCTTCAAAAACCTCGTCTAACCAATCAGTGAGTTTACATCTCTATCAATAAACCCAAAACACCTCATGTTAGAACTGCAGACGAAAGTTTCTGTTGTTAAATGTCACAGTTTTGGGCTAATCAACATTCCACTCAAACGACCATAAAATCGATTACACTGAAACAAAACAGAATAAACAAGAAGTATCTTTAAAAAAGATACTCGGTCGAACTATTTATTTGCATATCGTATCTTAGGAAACATGGAAAAAGAATCATAAGAATTATTATTTATGATGTTGAACCTAGTATTGAATTTTACATTTACATTTTTGAAATATTAAAATCATATGCATATGTTGGCAAATACAAAGTTTTTTAATAGAAATAAAATCTTAAGTCTGAAGTAAATCCTTTAAAAGAAAAGAAGAAGTAAATAAGTACATGTACTACAAACAAAACAATTTATTTTGTATTCAATTTTTTCGTCTCAGGTCATTTTTACCGTCATGCGATTCTTTTACAGTTTGTATTTCTATTATTGTGAATGTCGTTTCAGCTCAAAGAAAAACATTTAAGTTATTGAGGTTTGTTCCAATCAAAATTTTAATAGATTTTATAAATGACAACATTTTGTTGATACAAAATACCCGAATCAACAGATTTGCAACACCTTTGGAAATAACGAAAGAAAGCTAAAATCCGAGAAAAGAACCGAAAGAGAGCCTTCTTATCTAAAATATTTTGGCAAACATTTATTATAAACAAACAATTTAATCGTTAGCGATTAATACTTCATAAAGTTATATAAAATACATGAACATTATAAACTTTGTATATAACTGATAATACCAGATAAATTCCTTTTCTTGTGTGCTTTTCGCTATTTTCGTGCGGATGAGTAAACGGAAAAGTGGACGGAGTTGAAATTGGTGGTTTTCACTAATGTGTGACAATATCTATAACTCGATCGTGAAAACAACGAAAAATAATCTGTAGGATACATGGACATATAGAACTTATAATGTGTAGGAAAAGGCATGGTTATACAGAACTTAAGTAAATTTAAAGTTGTACTAAGGTCATCCTTGAGTAAAATATTTTAATCCCAGAAATTTATTGAAACCAATGAAATTTTTATAATTTGAATTAAAGAATTGTGAGAAGCTGCGTTCCCTATTACAGGACAAGTAAAGTTGGTCCTTTCTTAAAAAAACTGCCAGTTTTTTAATGACACTTTATATTAATATTTTGACCACCTATTGTATAGAACATACAACTGAAAACATGACATATCTACTTTGTATCAAGTCAATACGAGTTTATTTTATAAATACAAAGAGACTTTGTAGCATTATAAAAAAATGAATATAAAATTTGAGCATAGTATATGTTTAAATTGTTTAGAAAAAAGATTATAAATTTCTAGAATTTCTTTATGTTCCCAAAAATGATGGGTTTTAGACTGTTTCTTTTTAAAAAAACACTCCCAAAGGGCCAAAGGGGTTTTAAAAAGGGAAAAATGACTTTTTCCCGAAGGGGTTTAAAAAAGGGGGGTTTACTGTTGCGTTTAAAATTTTTAAAGTAAGTTCCATTTGACTTCCCTTTAAAATTTTTGGAAAAAGGGTTGGGGGTCAACGGGAAAGGTTGACTTCGAGTGGGTTTTTGTTTGATTTCCCCCTTGTTTAACTTTGCAAATGGAAATAATTTTGGCTAAAAATTTTTAAAATAAGAGTGCCCTTTCCCCTGATAACATTTAAAATTTGGCATAAAGGTTCAAAAGGGGGGTAACTGTCGCACTCAAAAAAGTTGAAAAAGATTTGACCTCCCCTGTTTAACATTTGAAAAAATTCGCTAAATGTTCAAAAAGGGGAGATAACTGTCGCACTAAAATAAGAGTTTTGTTACATTTTGCCCTTTCCCTTTTGAAAACAGGGCCAAAATGGCCCAAAAGGGGTTAAAAAGGGAAAGGTAACTGCGCACTCAAAAAAAATTTTGGTTCAGTGACCCCCCCTTTAAAAATTTTTTGCAAATACGTAAGGGGTTTTCGAAATTTTTTTTTGGAAAAAATTTTTGTCGCACTCAAAAAAAGATTTTGTAGATTTTATTTTTCCCCTGAAAACATTGAAAATTGAGTAATTTTTAAAGGGGATTTTTAAATTTTTCGATTTTTCCCAATTTTTTTAAAATCCATTTGGGAAACTTACGGGGCCCGGTAATTTTTTCAAAAAATTTTTTCCCTTTGATTTTTTTAAAGTCATCAGTCAGCACAGACATTTACAATATGAAAATATTTTCATTCTTTAACTTCATATCTGCAATTTGTAAAGATAATAATTCTCTGAAAAAATTCTTGATTTTTTTTCAAAATCACTACTCCTTGACGTCATACTGCGGCGGTAATCAGGTTAAGTCATACGTTGGTCATAAATAGTTCTGGTATGAAAACCCTTCTACATAATAACTTTATCAATATTTTTTAACAAAAAGCATAAATGAATATTTATAAGTAAATGCTTTAATAAGGTGGCAAATATTCTTTATTATTTTTGATAACAATTTTCCAATTACTACGCAGCGACCAACTGTTTATGACGGGTCATTAACTAGAACGTTGCAACACCGTAGTCTCAATATCATGCATGTTCTTTTGTTGTTATAAACCATTAATAGTCCTTAATATCTTTTTAAAGACAAATAATGGTAAACTGTCGCTTACATCAGAGACATGGATCATGCTTGCGTGATAACTAAGGAAAACTAACTTATTAGTACACCCTAGGAGGCTGTACGCGGAAAACGCTCTTAAACCGCTATATCATATAGCTGTTAGTAAATATTTTCCATACATGTAACTAAAGATTCACTGATGGTGATGAACATATAGTTTGAAAACATTATATTCTTGAACCATGTATCGCCGAAAAAAAACTATTTAACTACAAAACCCGTAAGGACCCTCCGACAAAATTTCAGCACAAGATTACATTTTACATTAGCAAAATAAAAAAGCAATACTTATATTTTCATCTTACATAATTCATTAATCAAACTTTTAACATAAAAGTATCTTTTAAAAATATGTCTGGCAATTGACAGATCCCTACTCTGATCTTTTATTTGTATAGGAATAAATTTTAACATGTGCTCTTTTGTTTAGGAATATTTTGTAGTGAAAGTCTTAATACGTATATCCACTAATCTAATAATTAGAGTTAGACAGGTCAGGGATTTATACAACCAGTTGTTTAGTTAACTACGCTCATTTTAATCCCAATAGAAACATTCAAATATTTGGGATAAAAAACATGACCAAAGTACCTAGTAGTCGTTTACCCGGTGGTGATCCCATTAAACTGATTATAGATTCGAATTGATTAGAAAACACAAATAGAAACATGTGTTTCGGTACAACAAAAATCGGAAGTAAAGTGAACAGTTAAATGACAGAAATATGTGGTCAAATATGTTTTAACAAGGAAATAATTATTTCAGAGAAAGACGCAAAGATCAGTCTTCAATCAAATGAATGACCCCGTACGTATTGTGTAATTAGAATGTTTATTCAATTCTAGGGCAACGCATCATAATTTGATAGTCCATGTGTAATAAAATTCAAATTTTCAATAC